AACTCTACTAATCTATTAGCTTCCGCATCATCTTCCTCATCACTAAACCATATTTCAACTGTGTCCATTTTTTTAATTTTATAATAAAAGCAATTATTTTAAAAATGATGTAAATAAAACACTCAAGAAACAAATGTAAACAAACAAACAGCTGTTTACAATTCTGTCAACCATTCACAATAGTACAAATTTTTATCGATCAAGTTACACAATAGCAAAATAAAAGATGATCGACTCGATCGACAAATTTCTATTCTACTGCCAGTCGACACTCGCAATAGGGGCCAATATTTAAAAGTATAAATCGACACACAAAACTTTTTCGCTTATGATTGAATAGCCCCTACACATGCTATTATTTCACATCAATCAGCGCAAACTTGTATTCTATCGGTCTTGGGTGATGTGAGAATAAGAAGCCCAACAAATTTGACGGCTAATAATCTGATATTTGATATGCCTTGGTATCGATCCAAAAATTGCTCGGTGTTGAAAGAAAGGTATCGAGTATGTACTTGTATAGTTACATTCCTAACTATTTGGGAATTGAATTAAACCAAAAGCGGTGGAAATAAACAGANATTATTTCACATCAATCAGCGCAAACTTGTATTCTATCGGTCTTGGGTGAATCCCCGGTGTTCAACCTAGTTTTATCGATTATTATATGCGAAGAAGAGGAGAAATACCAAATGTAAAAGTAAACAAAAGTGGACTCTAGCAAGGAAGAGGTTTGTATAGGTATTTTCAATAAAATACTAAGTTAAAATATGTTTAAAGTGCTTAATATTACAGAAAAAAGTGATGACGGCGGTACGCAGAAGAAACATAAATTTTCCTTGAGATGTGAGAATAAGAAGCCCAACAAATTTGACGGCTAATAATCTGATATTTGGTATGCCTTGGTATCGATCCAAAAATTACTCGGTGTTGAAAGAAAGGTATCGAGTATGTACTTGTATTGTTACATTCCTAACTATTTGGGAATTGAATTAAACCAAAAGCGGTGGAAATAAACAGAGTATCTTTAAGCATGATGCCGCGTCAACTTTGGGGCCAATTCGAAGAAACCTCCTCCAAGGAGAATGAATCTGACAAAATGGTTCCAGTGGCGGCAAAACGAACAAAGCTCGAAGAAATGCAAGACAGATTGCCTTCAACTACTACCAAGAAGTACGTTACATCAATTTTGAGATTGATGGATTACTAACAAATTTATTTCGTATAGTGTCGAACTGAAAGTGAAAAATCCCTTAGTAACGCAAACTATCGAAGTAATGAAACAGACGGAAATGTTACAATCACTAATTGATACATATTCCAACAAATCGGTAAAACATTATTATATTAGCTTAATTTAATTGCTGATATTAAGGTATTGATTTTGCAGGGCACATCCAATTACTTGCTTAATCCTTGCCAAATGATACCTGAGGTGGATTTCCCTCCCGAGAATGCCGTTGATTTTATAAATGATGACAAATTCGCCAAACCGATATGGTTCATACCACCAATTGAAACACAGTTTGCTCGAGGAGTTCCACAGGCATATCCACAAATAAATCCCAAAATATGCCTCGCTGCCCTGCGAAAGGCAGTTTGTGGGCAATTGCGCGTCTGTGGATTTACAGATATATCAGAGTCAGCGCTGGTGCTGTTTGCCGATGCAGCACAGGAATTTATGCGTAACTTTATGCAGAGAATTCGGGAAGTACATGCCAATAATCCACAGCTGGAAATTCAAAATGAGGTCGAAGTAAAGAGTCTCGAGAAAGCTTACTACTCGCTAACCAATGCATCATTGACTCAAGTTCATAATTATTTTAAGCACCAGTTAGTGGCTCGTAACCGAAGCGAAATAGCAGAATTTAATGGTGTGCTGCAGGAATATGATAAATTAATGAAGGAGAGTCAAAGTATGCAAAAGGAAGAATTCCAAGAAGGTGATTTTTTGAATATACTGGAGATGCCAGCATCCAATGAGCAAAATGTCGGTGTTTTGAGTGCCGGCATGCAAGATCTGCCGAGTACAGGCTCTGGCAGCTCCCAAAGCGGTGCCGGCATGTTAAGTATGCTTGAGGGACAGTCTCACATGACTGTACAACATGCGGGGTATGTACGTTGTAACTGACTCGACTTTAACAAGTATGTATGTTAAATATTTCTTATTTCAGGATATATAAAGA